TATATATCGTTATTGAATTATCGCCCAGCCCTATTGGAACCCTGCTTCAATAACATCAGTCAAATCATTATGACCAGCTAGATAGGAACAGGTAGGATCTCCTCCCGCATCTTTAGCTCAGAGGTCTGATGTAGAGTCTGGCTATGAAGCTGGATTTATAGGATTAACAACTCTTACCAGAGACATTCAACATGTCATCAATCCTTCCTGTTATCCAGTAGTATCCATCCTTATCTCTGCGGCAACCTAAAGGGAGAAACAGATGAACACATTGCCATGACTCACAGGCTGATCTCAAAGATTAAGGTCGTTGAAGATCAAATTTAAATGACGCAAGAAGGAGCGACTCCCCCCTGACGTCGCATCCCTCCCGACAAAGATTAATTAAGCAGCCGACCACCATTCCACTTTGTCTTTGCATGGGGACCCATTGGTCTGACAGGGGAGACATGCCGTTACTCAGCTGGAGCTACGTTACGCTACGTACTGTAATTGATAAAAGTAAGCCCTGCAGATCTGCCTCTATTGTTAGAATTGTTGAGTCTTTGTTAAAAGACTAAACAACCTTGGTAAGGAAGCAGATATCAGTTATAATCATTTAACTAATAATCATTACTTATTAGTTAATAAGTAATGATTAACCCCACACTGCTCCCTGGTGACGCACAATGGCAGCCTACTGCTCCCCAAGGGGATGGGTTAAATGCAGAAGGTTAATTTAATTGCTTTGTACTTTTGACAGTGTAATGATAATAAAGTTGAATTCTATTCTTCTTCTAATTGGTTTTACCCTTGATTTGAATGACCTATTAACTATAACTGCCAGTTCTAGTTATTTAATAAATGTATAATCTTCTGGTTATATAGTACAACAGTGTTTAGGTGTATAAAGATATTTGTTTCAGGTCTCACCGTCCCCTGTGACGTAGTATCCAGGGAACTTCTTAAAGTAGGTGGTTTCGAATCTCTCGTGGTTCCCATAAACGGTCCTCATCACACCCGGCCACGGCTGCTTGAACACCTGCGTGACGGCAGAGAAGTGAGGGGCGATCAGCAGAGGGTGACGGAGGAAACGATATTAAAGAGAAAAAAACTGCCTCCAATCCTGACCAGGTATCCTTCGCTCGGCCCCTCCAGCTCCTCTCCAGACTCATTTAAAATGGCCGGCACCACTCCGAAGAACGGAAACGTCTGGGGAGAGAAAATCATCATTTTCTGTTATTGTTATAAATAGTAATATAAATAAAAAATTACAATAATTTGCTTCTAGCATCCTCAGATATTTCATTATGTATATTTATTATTTTCCTTCATTTTTCAGACCTTTCAAACTTAAACTTTCTGATTTGTTTCCCTTTTTTCAACTCTTATCAAATAACTAACATATCTGAAGTTTGGCTCGGGTTCAGGAGGATGACCTGAACCACTTCAGGGTGAACAACAAACCCTCATAGCATCCTGTAGATCTATCATTTCTAGATCTAGCATTTCTGAATGACCAGAACTGGGATCCATGTCCACACTGAGAAACACGTTGCTCCAGCTTCCTGTGTGAATCATGTGACCTGCTGAAGTCTGAGACACCAACAGCTTTCTTATCTGTGCAGGAAAAAGAGCTGCTTGCCAAGCAGCTGGAACACTTGATGGCAATTTTCTGAACAAACTGACGTAAACAAAGTAACGTTAGCCTAGCGCTAAAGCTAGCTGCCCAATTTAAACAAAGCAGTGACTTAAAGCATTCAGCATTTCCACTGACCCACCCTAAGTAATTCATGTTGGAGCAACATATGCAGCAGAAACTCAGGCTGTCGGTTTTCATTGATGTGAAAAATTAGATTCAGTCCAAATCAAGTTAAAAGAATTGAACAGGTAAACTGCAAGATGTCTCCCTCACCATATTGTAAAGCATCCACTGCTACAAACCCCTTTGTTCAAGGCTCCTTTGGCTAAAACAGTCCAATCAGGGGGATGATGATTTCAACCTGCCTCTAGCTCTTTTAGCTCTGATTCAAACATTATCAGCATAGATAAGGAGCAGAGGGTTGATTGACTGGTAAATCTGGAGCTTTGTATTTTGTAAACCAGAGCAGCTATTTCATCACAGCCGAGTGTTTAGTCAATCATTTACTCACAGCAGATCCGGGTTTCATGGGGGTGGCTGCTGGTAGAGGAGTCATGACATGTCCTCCCTGAAAACAGACAACAAAGAAAAGAAGTTGGGGTCATAGAAGCTCTTTCCCATGCCTCCAGAGAAGCGCAAACAGAAACATCTTTTTGTATCATCTACACTAACAGTTTCAGTCTGCCAGAAAGTGTCGACGATCGGACATCGGCCGTCTCCCACCACGCTGTAGTACCACTGCCAGGCCTCAGGGTTGATGGGTTCTCCCACTGTCCCCAAGACCTTCAGGGATTTACGCTTGTACCTTTAATTGTAAAAATCAGGTAGGTTAAAAACTGTGTTTTAAATTGAAATGATCATTTTGCATTTTAACTGAAAACAGAGTGGATGGAAGCGGATCAGTGGATCTCTTACTTCTGCACTGGTTCGCTGCCATACTTCATCAGCAGCCTGATGGCTGTCGGAGCCGTGTAGAACTTGGTGACCCGGTATTTGTCCACTATCTCCCACATGCGGCTCACATCAGGGTACGTAGGCAGACCCTCAAACTGAGAGGAAATAAGAGTCCAATCAATTAAAATTCACAGTTATTACCTTAAGAATGTGATGTTTCAGTGTTATGATATATTTAAATCTATGTTCTCAGACTGATTTTAAAAGTTACGGTGAAATTAATGCAGTCAGCAGAAGGGCAGGTGGATTGAGTTCTAAACAAAAATAAAAAAAAAACATCATAATAAATGCAGGGGTTGACGTTAAGGATTTTTACCACTTACCCTTTGGGCAAGTTGCTTTGACATTTCATTTGTCCAGAAACAATTTTTACTTGCCCAGTATAATGTTTGATAAATATAGTTCCTAATATTCATTTTTGTATATATATCAATGAAACATGTTCATTTTTTAAATGTTTTTTTGTAATTCAATAAGTTTACAGGTTCCTGGTGTGAATATGCATGCATCAGATAATGAACTAAAGCCTACATTACCTGATGCATGCATATTC